AGGGTTTTACAATATAATTTGTTAAACTTATGGGAGCTCTTTGCAATCGCTTTTATTAGAGTGCACTACTACCACCGTTCTTTTTATGAGTATTATTTTAATCTCTGGAATAGCGTTAAGGAGCGCCGCCCCGTTGCTGGCGTTCCGAGTTTCCTTCACACTTCTCGTGATAGTTTAGAAGCGCGCCCACGTTGTTGCTTCCGCAGTTTCCTTCCTTGTGGAACTTACGGTTTTCGAAGAGGCCGTGATGGAGTCGAGTTTGTTTACACTCTCTGGGAACTGTGCTTTGGGGCAGCCGTTGCTGGCATTCGACAGTGTCTTTCATTCTTGGACTGCGTTTCAGAGCGCGCCGTTGTGCTTTCGACGTGTCCTGTACACATTCTGGAACTGCGTTTCAGAAGCCGCGCCGTTGCTGGGTTCGACGTTTTTCACGTTTTTGGAATGCTGTTTAAGGAGCGTTACCCTTGCTGCGTTTGCGGGGTAGTGGTTCTCGAACGTAGCGCGTCATATCCGACAGGATTAGGGGCAGTGATCAGCGGCGATGAAATTGGAGAGGTCGGGATCGAACTCTACCACTCACGGGTGACTTCGGCTTCCCACGTTAGAGTGAAGGCATGCTGAGTAGATCGTAATCATGGAGACATTCAATTCTTTACCGCCGAAACGTAACATTACTTTCCGGTCCGTTGGATATTGATATACTATCGCGCTTATACCTGGTCAGCGTTGGCGTTTTCTCCCATTTTTTTTCTGGGGTACTTACTCCGTGTTCAGCTCGTTGTGATTCTTCTTGTGCCTGGACACGGCGAGTATACCTCAGCAAATCAGAAGAAGCAGGGGCAACAAAAAGCTTCGTTACAGTTCATCTACAATAATGACCTCTCTTGGGTGCCAAGACACATATGTAGCAAGTTTCATCAAAATGGGTGCGTTCGAGATGGCAATCACGACAGCAGTGTTGCAAATTTGTCAAAGTACACTTGCAACAGCATCACGTTCTAGTTAAGTTTTTGTTTGTTGCTGTACTGCTGTAATTATTACGTAGGTCAAACGCACCAGATATCTCAATTTATACTCAAATTAACGCTTGCACAGAAAAAGTTACAAACATACAAACAATACATACAACATATAAAGCGTTATAAAAATAGTAGTGAGAGTACATTTATTACGATTAAATATTATTCTGTAATGGACGTTTAATAAATGGAGGTGGAGAGGATGGTATATTAAAACAACTAACTTTTGGACTTCCAATACTTAATAAAATGAATTATAGTATTAGCTCTCAATTAATAAAGGTTTTTTTTGTTAGCATTTTCAATTGAAAATTAATACCATGAAGCATGGCATCACAAAAGATTTTATCACATACATTCCTATTTCGCGTTTTCTTTAATATTCATTGTTTTCCAATTTTTGTTAGTGATCTTCAGCAGCAGTCAGAGATGAGTTTGGAACTCTTTATCTCTGCCACCACTTCTATATCATCAGAGATAAAGAGATGCCCAACTCATCTCTCACTGGAAATGAGAGCGCAATTGCTAAACGTCAAAACCTCCTGAACTCAAGCAACTGTCAAAGTTCAGGAGGTCTGACGTTTAGCAATTGGAAAAAGAGGGACGACCAGAGTCAACGCAGATAAACGACCATCTGGAACACACGAAAGGACATTTAATGCTCCAACAGTAGACGAAGTTGCCATCCTGATTTTTGGTGAACAATTGGAAAAAAGGGATATTGTGCTTACATGTCGCGATACTGGGCAACTGCAACAAATATCTGAAACTCATAGATCATATGACACATTACAATACCCGCTGATGTTTTGGCAAGGAGATGATGGATATTATTTTAATATTAAAATNCTGTCACTGGCAATGATGGTTATCCGCTGTATCGGCGTCGATCACCAAATGACAACGGTCGAACTGTCACAACGAAAGTGAAAACAATGTATTTCGTTGTCGACAACAGTTTGATTGTTCCATATTCGCCACTTATTTCTAAATCGTTCAAGACACATTGCAACGTTGAATACTGCAATTCAGTTAAGTCCATAAAATATATTTACAAATATGTCACGAAAGGCAGTGATATGGCGGTTTTTGGATTGCAATCCTCGAATACCAACGATGAAATTTCACTCTATCAAGTTGGTCGTTATGTGAACTGTAATGAAGCGATTTGGCGTATATTCGCATTTCCCATTCACGAACGTCATCCTACTGTTACGCATTTGGCGGTGCATCTGGAGAAGGGTCAACGAGTATATTTCACGGCATCGAATGCTACGCAACGCGCTGAAACACCTCCAGCAACTACATTGACAAGTTTTTTTGCGATCTGCCAAAGCGATCAGTTTGCACGAACTTTGCTTTACTCGGAGATTCCACGTTATTATACTTGGATTTTTTCATCGAAGAATTTTCAAAGACGGAAGCAAGGCGATGCGGTTCCTGGGTATCCAGATGTACGTTTTAATCGAGAATTGAAACGGGAACGTGAATATGATTACCAGGAATTAGATTTAGTAGTTCAAACGAATGTACCCCTGTTGAATTACCAACAAAAGGAAGTTTATGATACTTTAATGAAGGCAATCGATGATGAAAATGGTGGTTTATATTTCCTAGATGTCCCTGGTGGAACTGGCAAGACATTCCTCATGTCATTAGTTTTAGCAACTGTTCGGGCGAGATCTAACATAGCGGTTGCAGTTGCTTCTTCTGGAATAGCAGCCACATTGTTAGAAGGATGCCGTACGGCTCATTCTGCATTTAAAGTACCGTTAAATCTTCAAACTATTGAAGAACCAACGTGTAATATTGCAAAACACTCAGCAGTGGCCAAAGTTTTAGCGGTATCGAAAATCATTATCTGGGACGAATGCACAATGGTGCATAAACGTGCATTAGAAGCACTTAACCGAACATTAAAAGATTTACGCAATGGCTCGAGATGTTTTGGAGGAGCAATGATTTTACTGTCTGGTGATTTCCGCAAAATACTGCCAGTAATTTCAAGATCTACGGCTGCCGACGAAATAAACGCTTGCCTCAAATCGTCAAATCTATGGCGCTATGTGAAGAAACTGCAACTGACAGCAAACATGAGAGTTACATTGCTTAATGATACATCTGCTGAAGATTTCTCGGAGCAATTGCTGACTATCGGTAATGGTCAAGTACCTGTCGATGAATCGAGCGGATTAATATCATCATAATATTGACTGCGTCACAAATGAAGATGAAGCCACCAACTATCCAATTGAATTTTTAAACTCTTTGGACGTGCCTGGCTTACCACCGCACAATTTACGCCTAAAGGTTGGCTCCGTAGTAATCATGCTTCGAAACATAAACCAACCAAAACTGTGCAATGGTACGCGTTTGGTGGTTAGAAAATTGATGAACAATGTAATTTACGCTACGATAATGATAGGAAAATTCAAAGGTGAGGAAGTTCTCATTCCGAGGATACCGATGACTCCAACCGATATGCCGTTTGAATTTAAAAGACTTCAATTTTCGATACGTCTTGCATTTGCCATGACCATCAACAAATCACAAGGCCAATCCTTAAAAGTTTGTGGTTTAAATCTAGAACATTCATGTTTTCCCATGGTCAATTTACGTGGCATGTTCACGGGTCGGAAGACCATCTGCGTTGTTCGTTTTTGCGCCTGATAATAAAACAAAAAATAAAGTCGTGTATCACAAGGTACTTAAATGAAGAGCAACCTATGTACTAAAATACAGAAATAATTATCAATGATTAATGTAGGTATTTAATTTATTTGTATACTTTTCAATTAAAAAAAAAAACTGCTTATTTATTTCCATTATTAAGGCGGAACAAAGTTCGCCGGGTCAGCTACTAGTCTATATATATAATATATATAAAAGAAGTCGTGTTAGTTACTTCACTTATAACTCCAGAACGGCTGAACCGATTTATTGCTGAAAATTCCCGTGTGACTTGACATGAAACTTCAGTCACTATAAACGTGGTATAACAAAAAAGAATCAAACTTGGAATAACAAAACGCAAATGACAGCTATGTAATGACGTATGGATGACAATTTGATATTTGTAAGAAATCAATAATAAAACTATTTCTATTAAATAAATAATTAACAATTATAATGATAGTGCCATTGCCCATTCGTATAAACAGTGAAGTGAACTATAAAACTCGGTATGGTTGAAAATTTGAGTTTGAGTTTGAGTGAAGTGAAGTTTAATTAATAATGCCGCGACCAAGACGATCGAATCTTTCCCGACAAAGCCGAAAGGACTGAAGAAGAACAAGAAATTGCACGTGAACAGCGCCGCGATAGTGTGGCTCGACTTCGTGCTTCTCAATCACGAGAGCAAAGTGAAGCAGCCCGTGAAACAGCTCGGTTGGCAATGCAGAATCGTCGAGCGAACAACAAAGGTCAACAAATAGATAATTTGCGACGCAGAACAAGATATTTATCAAGTGCTGATTTGAATCGAGCAGCGTTTCAATACGATTGCAGCAATGATTACAGCTTGCATCCTAGCGTTTGCATTGGGCAAATGGACGTAGTTTGCGAGTATTGTGGTGCATTAAAGTTTTCCGGAGAAACGCCTGGATTATGCTGCCTTAATGGTAAAGTGAAATTGCCATTCTTGACTCCGCCACCTGAGCCATTGTATTCATTGCTTTGTGGCGAAACACAAAAATCACGCCACTTTCTTGCAAATACTCAAAAATACAGTGGTTGTTTCCAGATGACGTCATTTGGGGCAGATATTCGCGAAGAACGAGGATTTAATCCGACTTTTAAGGTATTTATTTTTGTACTTATATAGAATGTAGTTAAAGAATAACTTACTTTATCTATTGGTACCTATGTAGTATTTGCTAATTCTGAACTCTACTCTCTATAGAAAAGTATTTATAACCCAGTTAATACTGTCTGGTTTTTATTAGAAAACGATAGTCATTGGGCTACGACAATCGCTGAAGCCATTATCTCTGCATCTCCAAGTCAGATACGCACATTATTCGCTATCATAATTTCGACATGTTTTCCATCAAACCCATGTAACCTGTGGCACAAATACAAGGATAATATGTCAGAAGATATTTTACATCACATTCGTGTCAGTTCCAGAATCACGATATTGAGATGAATGAGGAGATACATAATCGTGCTTTACTCTTGATAGAAGATATGTATTACCTCATGTGCGGTAATTTATTAATCAGGTAAGGAATGCCAGCCCCATATCGTGAAATGAATGACAAGCGAGTTCACTCGCCTGTTCAACCTATATCTTAGATTGATGTCTCTAATTAACGTGCACCTGTGCGACTACATGAATCCAATAGTTGGCGGCATCTTAGCTCACCCTGTTTAGGCGCAAATGGCCGAAAAAGGTGACACGTTAAATTCCAAAGTGTTTTTGGTCAATTGTTTTAAAACGAAAACGACAACGGGAATATGGCCGATTATATCGACAACGTACAAGGTGCATCAATCCAATGATATTATTCAGTGACGCAATGTACAATGAAGCATTGATTGTTATAGAGAATCATTGCATTGTCATCAGCAAGATGTAGGTGGAGAAGCTCATTCAGCATTTAAGCTACTATTAGACATTTAAAATAACAAATATGCAGTGTGAAAAACAATCGTCCATGGCCAGAGTGTAAAATTATCATTTGTGATGAATGCACTAGGGCACACAAACTTTCGTTTGAGGCATTGGATAGAATTTTGAAAGATATAAAAAACAACGACAAACCATTTGGTGGAACTCTTTACTTCTTTCAGGTGATTTCAGACAGACGCTTCCCGTTATTCCACGTTCAACGTATGCAAATGAAATCAATGCTAGCTTAAAATCATGGCGACTATGGCGTAATATTGAAAAATTACATATGACAGTAAACATGCGCGTTCATATGCTTCAAGATTCATCTGCCGAAACTTCTTATAACAACTGTTAGATATTGTCAATGGAGGAATTGCTATGTGTTAAAATACTGGATGCATAAAATTACGGACGAATTTTTGCACATTCATTAATTCACAAAATATTCGCACTTAACTTTAGATATAGATTCGTAATGATGATCAATAATTCACAAGTCCAAACGTTGTCTGTTTGTGACAAATCTTTGTGACATGTTCTCGAGTGGGCAAACCCTCCAGTTTGTTTTTATTAGCTAAGTACGGACGGAGCAAAAATATTGTTTACTCGATTTCGTTGGGAAATTAATCTTTGTTTATTTTTAATTAAGAATAATTTATTAACATAAATAAAGTAAACTTATTAACATAAATAAAGTAAACTTTAATCGTCTACAACTCTTCATTCCTTTTTCAATTTTATTTACATCCCCAACACACAAATACTTTTAAAAAATAACGTATATGGCAGATCAACGTTTGCCGGGTCAGCTAGTATATGTATACATATATGTAGATTTGCGTATGCATTACTTATTTTGCAATGTCATACGCATATTTGTACATACATACTTACATATAGAGCAGTGCGCGCACATGTATTTATTGATAAGTGATAATATATTATTATATTATATTATATTATATAATATATTGATGTACATATGTACATACATAAATTATTTATTCTGTAACAATTGAAATTAGAAAATTATTAAAAAAGTAACATATATTGTATTTATTTTGCATAATCTTTCGCATTTTCATGCCTCATTTGTGCAAAAAAAATCATATTTTATCAATTTTTATCATAAAAATCGTTTATATGACAAAAAATAATCATGCATATGTGAAATGGCATTTGTATTTTTTGTTTAAAGTATTTAATTTTTCTCTTTATGTTGGTAGATACGTATTTTGGCAGAGAACGTTGTTATAAATTCTCATTTCTGTTAAATAACAGCAAATACTACAGAAAATAGTGAACTCTTTGATCTCAATTTTTCATTTTTCATTTGCACCTTCTCGTTCTTCTAAGCTCTCTGGTTCAGCAATGTCAGCCGACTCACAGGAAATGAAGAAATGCCTGAAGACACTAATATAGTGTAAAGACTTGGATGAAATTACAACCAAGGAAGAAGTACTTTATGCTCTACAGACAGAGTTGGGTAACAACGATCTGACGATCTCAGCTATTAAGAGCCTAAGAAAGTTCTACAGAGACACCCAAACAGCGCTTATTAAACTCCCAGTTGAGAATGCCAGGAAACTGCTTCAATCCCAGAAATTAAAAGTAGGGTGCGTAATATGCCGTATCAGAGACTACAGGCAGCCACAACGGTGCTACAGATGCCTCGATTATGGCCACACAGCGAAAAGCTGCGAAAACGAGGACAGGTCTAAACTATGTAGAAGATGTGGTGAGGGTGAACACCAGGCTACGGACTGTACCAATAAGCCAAAATGCTTGCTTTGCTTGAAGGCAGGCTCTAGTGTAACTGATCACTTTACTGGGAGCGTCAGATGCCCGGTATACAAGAAAGCGGCTCAAACTCAGGAATTAATATGAGGTGTTTACAACTTAACCTAAACCACTGTCAAGCAGCACATGACCTGTTAAAACAGTCAGTGCTTGAGAAGCAGATCGATGTGGTCTTACTCAGTAAACCCTATAAAATCGTTGAAGGTGCCAACTGGACGTGCGATTCGAGGAATAAAGCGGCTATATGGAAATGCCACCCTAACTTTCCACAGCTGGAAAACCCTTACCCTTCAAATGGCTTTGTTCGAACAACAATTAGTGATGTTATTATCTATAGTTGCTATTTGTCTCCCAGTATCAATGACGAAGAATTTAAGAACATAATCGACCGTCTAGTGACTGATGCCAGAAGTAAAACTAATCTAGTAATAGTCGGCGACTTTAATGTCTCGGCTATTGAATGGGGATGCAAAAGAACTAATAGTAGGGATAAAACCTTACTAGAAGCCTTTTCTTCCCTTGACCTTGTACTCTTAAACACCAACCAACCCAAATTCAACAACGATGGGCGGCAGTCGGTGATAGATCTGATTTTCGTCAAATCAAATCTTGTCCGTAGATCTCAATGGAAAATAAGTGATCATTATACTTTTAGCGATCACTATGCCATTATATTTGAAATAAATGTCGCACACATACGGCAGAGTGAACCGACCCTAGTGAGATGTTCCTGGAGAACTAAAACGTTCGACCCTGACCTTTTTGAAGAGACCTTTAAGCCCACTGCTCTACGCGAGAACCCGCTTTCGGTTAATAGTTCCGCCTCCATAATTATGACCCATCTTAAAAAAGCATATGACGCATCAATGTCCAAACATACACGACGCAATCATCACTCTCCAGTAGTTTAGTACAATTGACAAACTGTGAAAAGCATGCCAGCAGGCAAGATGTTCATATCAAAGGTCACGTGGCACCCCTGAGCATATACCCCTCCAAAGACTTTTCAAGAACAAGA